TAAAAAAGTACCAGTATAAACAATTTTAATTTATATTTAATAACAGCTAAATATCAATGTTTCACAGAACATGAACATGTATGTCAGGATAAGCATATGTTTTATACCATGCAATGAGTAATTGTTTACATAAAATAATGTTATGTTCTAAATTGTATACACATACTTGTAGTCCATCCACTTCTTTTTAACATCTTTGGTCAGTCTCTTGACACCACTGTTTGCACTGATGCTGAAACAAGATCAGTGAACTTTAATAAATTGTCAAGAATAACAGTAATAGAGTGAAGGGTTAGAACTCCAAAATCCCAGCAACATAATGTATCGAGAATGTCTCGTCTAAAATACGGAGAGAGTGGTGTCCCTTTCTAAGTGTCAAAATGGCTGCCTGTGACACTGCAGCGCTAGTTCCAGCTTATGTATATCCTTTGAATCAAGTTATTACCAAAGACGGGTTGATGAAGTAACACCATGTTGACAGGTTGGTGAGATAGCCTACAGATATTTCCGTCAGAATACTTACCTCGCCCTGCAATATTCAACATAAAACATCGATGTATTACGTGATCATTTTTTACATATTTGTACTCCAGTTTATACCAGACATATGACGCCCCCCCCCCCCCCCCCCCCCCTCCACACACACACACACACACACACACACACACACACAATTTCATTGAATCACTCACCTCTGTGAAATGTCCTCCCATGCTTTCTTCTTCATTCTGTTCGTCAAATTGTTGGTAAATGACGAAAACAACACGTTTTTCTTTGACTGTACACCCTCTATTAGAAGGGCTAACTCACTGTTAGTCCAGTTCTTGCTCCTTTGGCGTTTCAATGTCAATGGTTGACTAGCATCCATGATCGCTTGATATAGATACGACTGGCGTCGTCTGCTAATACAGTGAAGGGATTCCCCTGTAAATTAATGACGTCATTGGGGAATCCCCCTATATTCTTACCTCCATCACAGGAGAGCGACAATCTTAATTTACGACAATGATCGTAAGACGATGAATTTACGAACGGATTAAGAACGCTTTGTGGATCGGTCGTAAATATTAGTAAAATTATCTTAATTTTAATCGTAAACTCTTACGATATGTGTAAGTTACGAAGGCTTTGTGGATCGGGGCCCAGAACTACTGACCCACACATGAGCCCCTATGCCGTCAGTAAAAATCCAAGATGGTTGTTACTGACCTAATAATGTGACGTGTACCGTCAGTAACAGCCATTTTGGATTTTCCAACACCCACGGCACATATTTCACATGAAAATTCTGGTACAGAAGTTCGTTATTCGACACTTTTCAGTGTTTTAATATTATTAATTTTGATGTGCAAGGAGGTTAATATTTTTGTGGATCACCGTCATGATAAAGAGTATATAAAGTTAAAATTATCAACAAGGTTTGGCCTCTGGGGCTTGAAGAGTAGTCTCCCTTTGATCCTTAACGTTGTTAGTGTTAAGTATTGAGTTTTAAGTTTTGACATGATGTGCGACAAACATACCAAATAGTGTAAACTTTTCGGCATAATAAAATCGTTATGGTGTCTTTAGTTGCCGTATACGGTGTCATATTAAGTTAGCAGAAAGATATTAGGCTCGGCTGACGCTTCCCGCTATTGAAATGCATGAGCACTGCTATGAGGCTGGCAGGCTACATATCATGATTTGAACAAAAGTGGGCTGGTCAAAGAACCTTATCATTAAATACAAGCATGCTGTGGAGTATTTATGCCATTCCTGTAAGCTGCCTTGAGTAGGAAACAAAATATATAGCAGGAAAACCTTGCCTAGAATCATCAACACAGTGCTAAAACTCTCTCTGTGTGCACGAAAGTGTTGATAGTGTTAAACAATAATTATATTTTTACCCTTAACATCTTTTACATGACGACAATACATTATGTATTCACACTGTTAAGGCGGGTGGGTGAGTGAGTGAGTGAGCTGGGTCAAACACCGCTCAAAACAGTATTCCAGTGTGTCGGCTTAGTGTGGGAGGAAAGCCCATGGGGATGCAGGTCTCAGACGTTTACCACTTTGGTGAAACCCAACGAGCATGGGTATGGTGCTGAGAAACCTAGAAACATAACCGGGGTGAACCGGAATTAAATCCACGTCTGTAGGTGTCGGGCGTTTCTAAGGGACGCAACTCTGCACAGCGAATTGCGGCGCCTCAGACAACTGGTCCACCCTTGTCCCACCACTGATAAAAGTGAACCTATGAGACTAAAGTACACAAAGCAATAAACGTCAAACCTCAAAAATCACACAGATGATGATACTATCACAAATCTATTGCTGTAGCCTTTCGTGAAAGTTTACACACCAATTATTTCTTTAATAGTCAATGAAGCGTACATAAACTTGGTTATTGCAGGGAAGTGTTTAGTTTACATGCTGGAATTCAAGGTGTCTTTAAACATGTAGTTGATATTTAGGTCTTCAGCAACCGCTGCTTGCTGTAAAAGGCGACTGTGCTTGTGGTAAGAGGCGACTAACGGGATCGGACGGTCAGGCTGACTGCATGACTTGGTTGATGCATGTCATCGACCCCAATTGTGTGGATTGATGCACATGATATCAATCACTGCACTGTCTGCGACGTTAAACAACAAACAAACAAACAAACAAACAAACAAACAAATATTATACCTGGAAACATTGAAAGGAGGAGGAAATCGTGAGCACAGTGTTTTGGCGTGATTCCATTTATTAACGTGCAAATTATCATTATAATTACAAACTAATTACAAACATGTTATCCTGAACAAAATGCAATAAGACAAATAAATGTTAGATTTTTCTCTGGTAAATAAAACAATTTATGAGTAATATATTTTACAATAACTACGGTAATTGTGTTTTCATATTAGCATAGTTTATAAACCTAACTCATATACAGAAAACACAGTGTGATATTGAAACAATACCAAACATGTAACTATCATAGTCATACAGTATAAATGACACCAAAGGCTCCCAGTACATAGGGATTACAAGTGTGGGCATTCATTTTACATATTCATCGAAAGCTAAGTGCACCTCATATATGCAACATGATTTCAACTAAATGAACAAATATACATGTAAATACACCAATAAACCATTAAATAATGCACACACATATATAAAGTAAAAATAATGACTCTGTGAACCTGCTTACCTTGAACAGAGAAGGAACCTGTGAGCACAGTGTTTGAAAGTGACGTTAACGCGGCGATAAACATGAAAAAACCAAGCCAAAGATGGAAAGAAATATAATCATCAATACTCTAAGTATATCACTGCTGCCTGGACATAATCGTCTGGGTAGAAGTCCCAGTGGTTGATACCATGAGCAATGATACAGCTGTCAGTTTACGATGACGCACCATTAACAAGGTCATATTCACAGTCCAAAAGTCAGAAAACCTGAGTCCAACAATATACTTTTGTCTTGCAAGTTAGTATATGATAACGGTATGTCATGTTTGTTTGACATCCATGTCAGCAGTCTGCAGTCTGTGTTTAAGTTTGTTTGTTTGTTTGTTTGTTGTTTAACGCCGCACTCAGCAATATTCCAGCCATATGACGGTGGTCTGTAAAAAATCGAATCTGAACCAGACAATCCAGTGATTGATAACATGAGCATGGATCCACGCAATTGGGATACGATGACATGCATCAACCAAGTCAGCGAGCCTGACCACCCGATCCCATTAGTCGCCTCTTACGACAAGCATAGGTGCAGAAGACGTATTCTAACCCGGATCTACACGGGTCGGTATGTCATGTAAGTGAGTGGGTGACTTTTAACGCCGCATTATACAGTATTTCAGTTATACAAACGGTGTGTCTGCTCAGAATGGGAGGAAATCCAGAAGTGATGCAGGTCTGAGACTATTACATTTTGTAAAAGCCCACAATCACAGTGTGGTATTTACAAATAAAGGACATAATACTTGGGCCTATTTGGGATTCATTTTGTCAGAATAAGAATTGTGTATATAAATAGGGGCGTGTTTATTTAATTATATGTATGTAACCATGGCGATTATGTTTCGCTTTTACACTTACACACAAATATGAATGTAATCAGTCCCGTGTATACGGACAGCCGTATCGGAACCAATGGCGGCAAATGTAGGAAGTCGGCACTTCTAGTATAATAAAACGATGAAGGTGACCCATTCGTCTAATGTACCGCAGGGTTGAAGCCTCCGCCTCCTCTCTCTCTCTCCCCCTCCCCCCCCCCCCCCCCCCCCCCCTTTCCGCCTAGACGCTAGGGTCGAGTTAAGAGGGTTTCGTTTGAGCCTACTACATCGGCTTCATGCACCAGCTTAATTTTATGCCGGTTAAAAAACGAATGACACTTTTTAAAAAAAAATGATATTATTAATTCCTTGAACAGAAGTCAGTGTAGATTTTATGGCCACTGTTCAAATCCCCAGAAAATGTACGTGTATTATGTACTCATTTCTTTCACCTGTTTCTTTATTCAGATAATTCAGTTTAAATAATCAACCCAGACTGACAAGCATGGGGAACCACTTATACATCCGATCGTCTTTAGGCACTTTCTCAAATATTCTTCACAAAAGACTTTTGATACAGACAACTGACTCTTGTATTATTTTGAATAAACATTTTCTTCAATCTTCATCGGCACCGTCATGTCACGTTTAAACCTAAAAGAGACTAACTCCTAATATCGCTAACGATTGTCATTGATGTTGCGCGATAATTTGCGGGTCTTCGTGTGAACGAGTTGACTAGTTTCCTTTCCGCCAGGCTCCGTCTCTACATGTTACAAAGTTGACGCAGCGCACAGAGAGTCGGCAACCAGCAGTACATTTTATTTAAATGTAAGTTTTATTTTGCGATTATGATTTATATAATGTTCTACTGGACATAGAGGCATATTTCCATTGTGAATACAAAAAACTTTTGGTTCAAATCTATTTCCGGTGTTGCTACGGTAACAGTTCAAAACAAGTTCAAGACCCGGCTCTTACGATTCTTCGTTGACAGAAGTGTATCGTTGCTATTTCAGTTGTTATTTTAACAGATTTCAGAGACCTGTTTGAGTTCAAGTGGCTTCTTGTTTCTGCAGACAGGTTTGTAGATGTTATTTTGTATGAATTCCTTTTGGTTTCTCCCGAAATGTCTCTGGATTTGTGTTTGTTGGCATTGTAAACAAAACAGGCCATCTTTGACAACCAGCAAATATTCAACATTTTGAAGCCCATTTTGCTTACGTTTTCCTTTAGATTAGTGTTGTATTATCTATTCCTTGATTTACCAGCTTGTTTGCCTATCATATTTAGACGCACGTTGTAAGTATTTCGGTAATTCTGGAGCCACCACGGTTGTTTCGACCCCCAAATTGACCACAATTCTGATCATGTTTATGAACGGCCCACACAAAAACGTCATCGATTCACCTTAACCGCAGTCTGTGACTTTAGCCACAAGTCCGTAGCCCAAGTCTAGTAAACTTTTCTTTCAGTCTAGTAAGCTTTGCTAATAAAGGTCCATACATGAACACTAAGATGATCTTAGATCTACTGAAAATGATGGGGTGTTGTCTAAACCCTCATTGGCTCTGTGGGCTAAAACGCTAAAGCTTTGTTTCGCAAAAAAGGCTAGGGAAGGTCCATCAAACTGACAGGTTTTGGCAAGCAGCAAGTAACTGCCACAGGCTGTAAAACGCACTGTGATATTTTCCAGTCCCTGTGCTTTCGAAAATTGAGAATGATGTCTTAGGCCTTCAAAAGGCCTAATAATATTTTTAGTAAGATCTGGTTGGAATCCTAACTGCACATCAAGTCCAGTAATCTTCTGTTCCTGATTTCAAACTACTTTCATTATTTAATGATGATACATGTGATATAGAAGAATGTCCTTTGAAAGGTTGATCAAATGATGAAAATTTACTCATGTCATTTAATTGATATCTCAAATCAAAAGTCAGTAACTATGTCGAACGACTATGAATGTACATTACCAGTGACTATACATATTCCATACTTTTATGTTCTATTGCAGTTATTTCTTTTTTCCTCTTTATTATTCTTCTTATTATTCTCTTTCTTCTAAACAGATACTTTTTGTGGACTTGTTTAAATAAAGATGAATTATGACAATATTATTATTTTCTCACCCTGTAACAGGTCCTAGGTTGTTTTTTTAATTACCTCATTGTCATTACTACATGCCTAGCAGGTGTGGGAGACATGTACTTTGCCAGTCACACTGTCTTCATAACGACTTTTGGTATTTAGCTTTTAGCCATGAAATATGCTTATAGTTATAACATAAAAGCATCTTTCGATATAAAAAAGCCCACTCTATTTATACTGATGAAACATCAAGATGTTATAAGTAACTTCATATCTATCTTGTTGACAGGTTTCTGTTGTTGTGATCGATTATCTGGATTCTACAGTTTTTCCTGTGTTTCACCTTGATCTGGTGCAAAGATCAACTCTAGAGGTATTCTCATCTAAACAACACACATAATATTGACATGTCCAACTTCAAAACACAAGAACTCTAGCTTTTACATTCATCAAGGCAGGGTTTTTAGATTGGTTCACTTTCCAAGACATGGATTGTCATCTAAAATGTCCAACAGATTGTTTTAAAATTTGGTATATATTTATATATAGTTGATAAAATGATGAAAATGTCCTCAAGCCAATTGTCTCCATCAAAATCCCTGTATAAGTACACAATGTAAACCACTCATGTAAACAAGCTTAACACGTGTCAATACCTGTATTTTGTCCTTTGTGTGAAATGAATCTAAATAAATCCCACATTGATACTTCAGAGACACAACATGCTGTGTCCCAGTGAGAGTTGGGTGAACCTGGATGACCCTCCCTGCCCCGACACTGATGCTGTCATCCCCTCCAGTCCTACAATGAGGTCCACCAGCCTAATATGCCCCACCCCTAGATCCTCCATCTTCTACAATAGCATCCTACAACAGTTTGAACAACCTATTTCCTTCCCATCCTTCATCCCAAACCAGTATCTGAATATTCATAATGCAGGTTTTTTCAGTCCAAATACTAGTGTGCTTCATTCAGACTATCCTAACTTTACTTCTAACTGTACTGATTTCGATGTTTCCACCTTCCAGCCTCTTCAAGTTGACAGCGCATGCAGCCTACATCAAGAAACAATCAGCCAGACTTCATTGGGCTCGGGTTTCGATGTTTCCAGCTTCCAGCCTCTTCCTGTTGACAGTGAATGCAGTCTGGATCTTACAACATTTAGCCAGACTTCATTGGGCCCGGATTTTGATGACTCTACATTCCAGCCGCTTCCAATTGACAGTGAATGCAGCATAGGTGAAGCAGCAATCAGCCAGGCATCATTGGGCCCAGATATCGCTGTTTCGAGCTTCCAGCCTCTTCCGGTCGACAGTGAATGCAGCCTGGATCTACCAACAATCAGCGAGACGTCATTGGGCCCAGATTTTGATGATTCCACATTCAGGTAGCTTCAGGTTGACAGTGCTTGCAGCCTAGATCAAGCATCAATCAGCCAGACGTCATTGGGCCCTGAGTTTCATGATTCCACCTTCAGGCTGCCTTCAATTACCAGTGCATGCAGTCTAGATGAAGAAACAATCAGCCAGACGTCATTGGGCCCAGATTTGGATGATTCCATCTTCAGCAGTGAAAACAACCTGTCACAAGACTACAGCCAGACTTTGATGAAATCCTTTGTCAGCCCTGTTCCTGGGCGCAGTGGTTCCAGCCTGTCTCAGACCATCAGCCAAGTATCAAGTATTGAGGATTTCAGTGAATCCATCCTCATAGCCTATTCCTTTCAGCTGTGAATCCAGTCACAAGATATCAGCCAGAATGAATGAAAGTTTTGGCAAGAGCTCAATTTAAACCTTATCCCAGATTGCCCAGTTTCTTTTTGAAATATACTAAACATGTAAAAGCAGAAAGAAACGATTTACCATTACCATACCCCCCTTCTGCACTTGTAATGTATTTTCTCATTTCGGGTTTCTTTTGTATTTCTACAGATTTCTTCTTTGAATTAGTCCCAGGATAATAATCTAATGAAGGTTGCAGTAGCTCTCCTGCTGTGGACCTTGGCTTCATTTCATTTCAGATCTATTCAGGTGCCATTACTGTGTCCAGCAACAGAGATCCAAGATCTAGCTCCAGCCAAAACTCCATCCACCTTGGTGACCTCTTCCTTGACTCAGGACTCAAGATTAAGTTTGAACTTCATGTATATCTGTGTTCAATAACAGTGACCCAGCTCCAGCAAAAGATCCACCTGCCCTCCTACTCTTTTCCGAAACTCTTAAATGATTGTCCCAATACAAGCTGCTGGAACCATAACCTGATTCTGTGAAAGAGATTTGTCAGTGACATGATTCCCAGTCTCACTGGTAGCCAATGCAGTTCTTTCAGGACCGGTGTTATGTGGTAGGGAATTAAGCATTGTGTGATGAGCCTGACGCCTGTATTTAGCACACACTGTATCTCGTGCAAATGACTTTGCTGAATGTCCTGCAGGAGATATTATTATCAGATTAAAGCACAAAATGCAGCAAACCCACTAAGAATGTTTTGGAGAAAGTGAAAACTCCCCAACACTGCAACCTTCTGCAATACACATATTGTCAGAAGGGCTTTATTCCTAGCAACAAACCTGGGTACTCTCCCAATTTCAGTCAACAGATTGGGAGGTACCAAACCTAAGGCACCGAGAACAATGAGGAGTTGTCAACTTGGTTCTTGGGATGTAAGCGTGACATTTCAAAAGCGAGGTCTGCATATTTGCCATGTTTTTCCTCAATCTTGTTAATCACATTAGTGTCAAAAGGGACAGAAAATTCAATAACAGAAATGATTTCATTCGACTTTTCAGGTTTGTCAGGTTTGTTGGCCTGGACAGGTGTAAGGCTGTATACTGGCCTATTCCAAAGAATTTTGTATTGATGATTTTCTATGACGCCCTCTACATATTGTTGGTCTGCTGTGGGTGGATTTGACTGATCTGGCACAGTCAGGCTTGTTAGGCTCATCATCAGCTCAGGGTCCTTGCCTCCTCTACATGTTGCCCAGACAGCAAATGGGACTTCTCCCAGGAAGGGCTGCCAAGTCAAACCGTCCCAGAACGTTTCTGAGAATGTTAAGACTCCCTAACACTGCAGCCTTCTGCATTACCCAGATTGTCAGAAGGGCTGTATTTCTGGCAACAAACCCTGGTACTCTCCAAATGTCAGTCAACAGATTTGGAGGTACCAAACCTAAGGCACCGAGAACTTGGAAAACTTGGTACTTGGGATGCTAGCGTGCTACGTACTGACAGTAATTGGCAGTAATTAGCATTCCTCATCATTCACTATCACCAAAGATCAGTTATTTTAGGAGTTTACCTGCTTTTCATTGGCAACCTGGTCTTTCATGGTTTTTCACTTGTGGCATCATAAACATTGCTTAAGTTGGGCAACCAATTGCCACATATATTGGCCAACAGGTGGTAGTTGTCATTTAGGCCGGCAGCGGTAGTTATCATGTCCCTGCTAGCGGTAGTTGCCACGATGTTTTTACAACATTAGCTGCTATTTTCTCCAAGCAGCAGTAGTTGCTTCCAGGGCCAAACAGTGGAAGTTATCATGTCACTGGCAGCGGAAGTTGCCACAATCCTTTTACAACGGTAGTTGCCTTAGGGCAGTAGAGGGAGCTGCTCATTGACATTGACAGAGGTAGTTGCCATGACAACAGTAGCTTTTTGTGTAATTTACTAGAAGCTTAGTAGCACTAGGACCTGCACACCCTCAGCCCATGTTCTAATTGGTAAGGGCGTCCTGTGTGTGGTAACCCATAACCCCCTCCCTCTCCTTGGTATAACGTGCAATAACTACTATTTATTTCAGAGGATATGCTTGTTGGTGGTGAAGGTGTGGCTATAAGGGGAGGTGGAGGCCACCTTTACTAGTAATTTCTTGCTTGTTAAAAGATAAATACAAATCTGCCAAATTTGGTTTTACTGCACAACTTAGCAATCATAACGAATCACTGATGTTTATTGATATGTATAATCTGCATCGTAAGTATATATATCAACAATGTACAGACTGCCTGTTGTTTATTTGAACTGCCAGTAATGACCATGATTACTATTTTTTATTTCAGTGGATATGTTTTGGTGGTGAAGGTGTGGCTATAAGGGGAGGTGGAGGCCACTTTAAGTGTAAAACAATGTATTTGTTTTCCCCTTGAAATATCTGACACACAATTAATAAGACAATTAATTTTTTTATGGACTTAATAAATACGATTTTAATTGGAGGCACAATTTTGTCTTATGTTTTTATTCCCCTAATCAGGGAGTGAGTGAGTGAGTTGAGTTTAACTCTGCTTTAGCCAGTGTTTCAGTCATATCACACTGCGTCTGCTCAAAGTGACAGAGGCTTGTAGTGGTTTCCCACTAATGAAATGCATGAGCACTGTACGAGGATGACAGGCTTAGTATTTTGATTGGAACAAGAGTGGTCTTTGAACCTGTGACAGGCAGGTCCTGGCATGACAAACGCCACTGGGTCACACAAAGGACTGTCACTAGGGAGAGAATCAGTCAGTATGATTCCCATTTGACATAGTTATCCAAATAACACAAATAAATGGCTCTGAATAAACACTGTTTACCAAGATTCATCAAGATCCAATTCCATTAGTAGTGAGGTAACAATAAAACAAATAATATTTTAGCATGCCTCAAAGTGAGATTGAGCAATCAGAGAGCAGAACTACTGACCCCACATGAGCCCGTATACCGTCAGTAAAAATCCAGGATGGTTGATACTGACCTAATATGTGACGTGTACCGTTACTTACAGCCATTTTGGATTTTCCAACATCCACGTCACACATTTCACATGAAAATACTGGAACAGAAGTTCGTTATTCGACACTGTTCTGTGTTTTAATATCATTAATTTTGATGTGCAAGGACGTTAATGTTTTTTTGGATCACCTTCATGATAAAGTGTATGTAAAGTTAAAATTATCAACAAGGTTTGGCCTCTGGGGTTTGAAGAGTAGTCTCCCTTTGATCCTTAACGTTGTCAGTGTTAGGTTTTGACACGACGCGCGACAAACATACCAAAAAGTGTATACTTTTCGGCATAATAAAATCATTATGGTGCCTTTAGTTGCCGTATACGGTGTCATAACAGGTTAGCAGACCGCTATTGAAATGCATGACCACTGCTATGAGGCTGGCAGGCTATACGTATAATGATTGGAACAAAAGTTGGCTGGTCAAAGAACCTTTTCATTAAATACAAGCATGCTGTGAAGTAATTATGCCATTCCTGTAAGCTGCCTTGAGTAGGAACAAAATATATAGCAAGAAAACTTGCCTAGAGTCATCAACACAGTGCTAAAACTCTCTCTGTGTGCACGAAAGTGTTGATAGTGTTAAACAATAATTATATTTTTAACCTTAACATCTTTTACATGATGACAGTACATTATGTATTCACACTGTTAAGGCGGGTGGGTGAGTGAGTGAGTGAGCTGGGTCAAACACCGCTTAAAACAATATTTTGTACTTATGGTGTGTCGGCTTAGTGTGGGAGGAAAGCCCATGGGGATGCAGGTCTCAGACGTTTACCACTTTGGTGAAACCCAACGAGCATGGGTATGGTGCTGAGAAACCTAGAAACATAACCGTTGTGAACCGGAATTAAATCCTGGTTTCTCGCGTTTCTAAGGGACGCAACTCTTCACAGCGAATTGCGGCGCCTCAGACAACTGGGTCACCCTTGTCCCACCACTGATAAAAGTGAACATATGAGACTACAGTACACAAAGCAATAAACGTCAAACTTCAAAAATCACACAGATGATGATACTATCACAAATCTATTGCTGTAGCCTTTCGTGAAAGTTTACACACCAATTATTTCTTTAATAGTCAATGAAGCGTACATAAACTTCTGAAAAATTCACCCTTGGTTATTGTAGCGAAGTGTCTAGTTTACATGCTGGAATTCAAGGTGTCTTTAAAAATGTAGGTGATATTAGGTCTTCAGCAACCGCTGCTTGCTGTAAAAGGCGACTGTCGTAAGATGCGACTAACGGGATCGGACGGTCAGGCTGACTGACTTGGTTGAAGCATGTCATCGACCCCAATTGTGTGGATTGATGCACATGATATGAATCACTGCACTGTCTGCGACGTTAAACAACAAACAAACAAACAAACAAACAAACAAATATTATACCTGGAAACATTCAAAGGAGGAGGAAATCGTGAGCACAGTGTTTTGGCGTGATTCCGTTTATTAACGTGCAAATTATCATTATAATTACAAACTAATTACAAACATGTTATCCTAAACAAAATGCAATAAGACAAATAAATGTTAAATCTTTCTCTGGTAAATAATACAATCTATGAGTAATATATTTTACAATAACTTCGGTAATTGTGTTTTCATATTAGCATAGTTTATAAACCTAACTCATATACAGAAAACACAGTGTGATATTGAAACAATACCGAACATGTAACTATCATAGTCATACAGTAAAAATAACACCAAAGGCTCCCAGTACATAGGGATTACAAGTGTGGGCATTCATTTTACATATTCATCGAAAGCTAAGTGCACCTCATATATGCAACATGATTTCAACTAAATGAACAAATATACATGTAAATACACCAATAAACCATTAAATAATGCACACACATATATAAAGTAAAAATAATGACTCTGTGAACCTGCTTACCTTGAACAGAGAAGGAACCTGTGAACACAGTGTTTGGAAGTGACGTTAACGCGGCGATAAACACGAAAAAACCAAGCCAAAGATGGAAAGAAATATAATCATCAATACTCTAAGTATATCACTGCTGCCTGGACATAATCGTCTGGGTAGAAGTCCCAGTGGTTGATACAATGAGCAATGATACAGCTGTCAGTTTACGATGACGCACCATTAACAAGGTCATATTCACAGTCCAAAAGTCAGAAAACCTGAGTCCAACAATATATTTTTGTCTTGCAAGTTAGTATATGATAACGGTATGTCATGTTTGTTTGACATCCATGTCAGCAGTCTGCAGTCTGTGTTTAAGTTTGTTTGTTTGTTTGTTGTTTAACGCCGCACTCAGCAATATTCCAGCCATATGACGGTGGTCTGTAAAAAATCGAATCTGAACCAGACAATCCAGTGATTGATAACATGAGCATGGATCCACGCAATTGGGATACGATGACATGCATCAACCAAGTCAGCGAGCCTGACCACCCGATCCCATTAGTCGCCTCTTACGACAAGCATAGGTGCAGAAGACGTATTCTAACCCGGATCTAGACGGGTCGGTATGTCATGTAAGTGAGTGGGTGACTTTTAACGCCGCATTATACAGTATTTCAGTTATACAAACGGCGTGTCTGCTCAGAATGGGAGGAAATCCAGAAGTGATGCAGGTCTGAGACTATTACATTTTGTAAAAGCCCACAATCACAGTGTGGTATTTACAAATAAAGGACATAATACTTGGGCCTATTTGGGATTCATTTTGTCAGAATAAGAATTGTGTATATAAATAGGGGCGTGTTTATTTAATTATATGTATGTAACCATGGCGATAATGTTTCGCTTTTACACTTACACACAAATATGAATGTAATCAGTCCCGTGTATACGGACAGCCGTATCGGAACCAATGGCGGCAAATGTAGGAAGTCGGCACTTCTAGTATAATAAAAGGATGAAGGTGACCCACTCTCCAATGTACCGCAGGGTTGAAGCCTCCTCTCTCTCTCTCCCCCCCCTCCCCTTTCCGCCTAGACGCTAGGGTCGAGTTAAGAGGGTGTCGTTTGAGCCTACTACATCGACTTCATGCACCAGCTTAATTTTATGCCGGTTAAAAAACGAATGACACTTTTTAAAAAAAATATGATATTATTAATTCCTTTAACATAAGATTTAATGGCCACTGTTCAAATCCCCAGAAAATGTACGTGTATTATGTACTCATTTATTTCACCTGTTTCTTTATTCAGATAATTCAGTTTAAATAATCAACCCAGACTGACAAGCATGGGGAACCACTTATACATCCGATCGTCTTTAGGCACTTTCTCAAATATTCTTCACAAAAGACTTTTGATACAGACAACTGACTCTTGTATTATTTTGAATAAACATTTTCTTCAATCTTCATCGGCACCGTCATGTCACGTTTAAACCTAAAAGAGACTAACTCCTAATATCGCTAACGATTGTCATTGATGTTGCGCGATAATTTGCGGGTCTTCGTGTGAACGAGTTGACTAGTTTCCTTTCCGCCAGGCTCCGTCTCTACATGTTACAAAGTTGACGCAGCGCACAGAGAGTCGGCAACCAGCAGTACATTTTATTTAAATGTAAGTTTTATTTTGCGATTATTATTTAAATAATGTTCTACTGGATATAGAAGCATATTTCCATTCGTGAATACAAAAAAACTTTTGGTTCAAATCTATTTCCGGTGTTGCTACGGTAACAGTTCATAACAAGTTCAAGACCCGGCTCTTACGATTCTTCGTTGACAGAAGCGTATCGTTGCTATTTCAGTTGTTATTTTAACAGATTTCAGAGACCTGTTTGAGTTCAAGTGGCTTCTTGTTTCTGCAGACAGGTTTGTAGATGTTATTTTGTATGAATTCCTTTTGGTTTCTCCCGAAATGTCTCCGGATTTGTGTTTGTTGGAATTGTAAACAAAACAGGCCGTCTTTGACAACCAGCAAATATTCAACATTTTGAAGCCCATTTTGCTTACGTTTTCCTTTAGATTACTGTTGTATTATCTATTCCTTCATTTACCAGCTTGTTTGCCTATCATATTTAGACGCACGTTGTAAGTATTTCGGTAATTCTGGAGCCACCACGGTTGTTTCGACCCCCAAATTGACCTCAAATCTGATCATGTTTATGAACGGCCCACACAAAAACGTCATCGATTCACCTCAACCGCAGTCTGTGACTTTAGCCACCAGTCCGTAGCCCAAGTCTAGTAAACTTTTCTTTCAGTCTAGTAAGCTTTGCTAATAAAGGTCCATACATGAACACTAAGATGATCTTAGATCTACTGAAAATGATGGGGTGTTGTCTAAACCGTCATCGGTTTCTGTGGGCTAAAACGCTAAAGCTTTGTTTCGCAAAACAAGTCTAGGGAAGATCCATCAAACTGACAGGTTTTGGCAAGCAGCAAGTTACTGCCACAGGCTGTCAAACGCACTGTGATATTTTCCAGTCCCTGTGCTTTCGAAAATTGAGAATGATGTCTTAGGCCTTCAAAAGGCCTAATAATATTTTTAGTCAGATCTGGTTGGAATCCTAACTGCACATCAAGTCCAGTAATCTTCTGTTCCTGATTTCAAACTACTTTCATTATTTAATGATGATACATGTGATATAGAAGAATGTCCTTTGAAAGGTTGATCAAATGATGAAAATTTACTCATGTCATTTAATTGATATCTCAAATCAAAAGTCAGTAACTATGTCGAACGACTATGAATGTACATTACCAGTGACTATACATATTCCATACTTTTATGTTCTATTGCAGTTATTTCTTTTTTCCTCTTTATTATTCTTCTTATTATTCTCTTTCTTCTAAACAGATACTTTTTGTGGACTTGTTTAAATAAAGATGAATTATGACAATATTATTATTTTCTCACCCTGTAACAGGTCCTAGGTTGTTTTTTTAATTACCTCATTGTCATTACTACATGCCTAGCAAGTGTGGGAGACATGTACTTTGCCAGTCACACTGTCTTCATAACGACTTTTGGTATTTAGCTTTTAGCCATGAAATATGCTTATAGTTATAACATAAAAGCATCTTTCGATATAAAAAAGCCCACTCTATTTATACTGATGAAACATCAAGATGTTAGAAGTAACTTCATGTCTATCTTGTTGACAGGTTTCTGTTGTTTTGATCGATTATCTGGATTCTACAGTTTTTCCTGTGTTTCACCTTGATCTGGTGCAAAGATCAACTCTAGAGGTATTCTCATCTAAACAACACACATAATATTGACATGTCCAACTTCAAAACACAAGAACTCTAGCTTTTACATTCATCAAGGCAGGGTTTTTAGATTGGTTCACTTTCCAAGACATGGATTGTCATCTAAAATGTCCAACAGATTGTTTTAAAATTTGGTATATATTTATATATAGTTGATAAAATGATGAAAATGTCCTCAAGCCAATTGTCTCCATCAAAATCCCTGTATAAGTACACAATGTAAACCACTCATGTAAACAAGCTTAACACGTGTCAATACCTGTATATTGTCCTTTGTGTGAAATGAATCTAAATAAATCCCACATTGATACTTCAGAGACACAACATGCTGTGTCCCAGTGAGAGTTGGGTGAACCTGGATGACCCTCCCTGCCCCGACACTGATGCTGTCATCCCCTCCAGTCCTACAATGAGGTCCACCAGCCTAATATGCCCCACCCCTAGATCCTCCATCTTCTACAATAGCATCCTACAACAGTTTGAACAACCTATTTCCTTCCCATCCTTCATCCCAAACCAGTATCTGAATATTCATAATGCAGGTTTTTTCAGTCCAAATACTAGTGTGCTTCATTCAGACTATCCTAACTTTACTTCTAACTGTACTGATTTCGATGTTTCCACCTTCCAGCCTCTTCAAGTTGACAGCGCATGCAGCCTACATCAAGAAACAATCAGCCAGACTTCATTGGGCCCGGGTTTCGATGTTTCCAGCTTCCAGCCTCTTCCTGTTGACAGTGAATGCAGTCTGGATCTTACAACATTTAGCCAGACTTCATTGGGCCCGGATTTTGATGATTCTACATTCCAGCCGCTTCCAATTGACAGTGAATGCAGCATAGGTGAAGCAGCAATCAGCCAGGCATCATTGGGCCCAGATATAGCTGTTTCGAGCTTCCAGCCTCTTCCGGTCGACAGTGAATGCAGCCTGGATCTACCAACAATCAGCGAGACGTCATTGGGCCCAGATTTTGATGATTCCACATTCAGGAAGCTTCAGGTTGACAGTGCTTGCAGCCTAGATCAAGCATCAATCAGCCAGACGTCATTGGGCCCTGAGTTTCATGATTCCACCTTCAGGCTGCCTTCAATTACCAGTGCATGCAGTCTAGATGAAGAAACAATCAGCCAGACGTCATTGGGCCCAGATTTGGATGATTCCATCTTCAGCAGTGAAAGCAACCTGTCACAAGACTACAGCCAGACTTTGATGAAATCCTTTGTCAGCCCTGTTCCTGGGCGCAGTGGTTCCAGCCTGTCTCAGACCATCAGCCAAGTATCAAGTATTGAGGATTTCAGTGAATCCATCCTCATAGCCTATTCCTTTCAGCTGTGAATCCAGTCACAAGATATCAGCCAGAATGAATGAAAGTTTTGGCAAGAGCTCAATTTAAACTTTATCCCAGATTGCCCAGTTTCTTTTTGAAATATACTAAACATGTAAAAGCAGAAAGAAACGATTTACCATTACCATAACCCCCCTTCTGCACTTGTAATGCATTTTCTCATTTCGGGTTTCTTTTGTATTTCAACAGATTTCTTCTTTGAATTAGTCCCAGGATAATAATCTTATGAAGGTTGCAGTAGCTCTCCTGCTGTGGACCTTGGCTTCATTTCATTTCAGATCTATTCAGGTGCCATTACTGTGTCGAGCAACAGAGATCCAAGATCTAGCTCCAGCCAAAACTCCATCCACCTTGGTGACCCCTTCCTTGGCTCAGGACTCAAGATTTAGTTTGAACTTCATGTATATCCACCTGCCCTTCTACTCTTTTCAGGGGCGGTCGGGTAGCCTAGTGGTTAAAGCGTTCGCTCGTCAGGCTGAAGACCCGGGTTCGATTCCTGACATGGGTACAATGTGTGAAGCCCATTTTCTTTCCAGAAACTCTTAAATGATTGTCCCAAATACAAGCTGCTGGAACCATAACTTGATTCTGTGAAAGAGATTTGTCAGTGACATGATTCCCAGTCTCACTGGTAGCCAATGCAGTTCTTTCAGGACCGGTGTTATGTGGTAGGGAATTAAGCATTGTGTGATGAGCCTGACGCCTGTATTTAGCACACACTGTATCTCGTGCAAATGACTTTGCTGAATGTCCTGCAGGGGATATTATTATAAGATTAAAGCACAAAATGCAGCAAATTGGGTTTGGGTGATCCTGGCACAGTCAGGCTGGTTAGGCTTATAATCAGCTCAGGGTTCTTGCCCCCTCTACACCCAGCCCAGACAGCAAATGGGAATTCTCCCAGGAAGCGCTGCCTAGTCAAACCCACTAAGAATGTTTTGGAGAAAGTGAAAACTCCCCAACACTGCAACCTTCTGCAATACACATATTGTCAGAAGGGCTTTATTCCTAGCAACAAACCTGGGTACTCTCCCAATTTCAGTCAACAGATTGGGAGGTACCAAACCTAAGGCACCGAGAACAATGAGGAGTTGTCAACTTGGTTCTTGGGATGTAAGCGTGACATTTCGAAAGCGAGGTCTGCATATTTGCCATGTTTTTCCTCAATCTTGTTAATCACATTAGTGTCAAAAGGGACAGAAAATTCAATAACAGAAATGATTTCATTCGACTTTTCAGGTTTGTCAGGTTTGTTGGCCTGGACAGGTGTGAGGCTGTATACTGGCCTATTCCAAAGAATTTTGTATTGATGATTTTCTATGACGCCCTCTACATATTGTTGGTCTGCTGTGGGTGGATTTGACTGATCTGGCACAGTCAGGCTTGTTAGGCTCATCATCAGCTCAGGGTCCTTGCCTCCTCTACATGTTGCCCAGACAGCAAATGGGACTTCTCCCAGGAAGGGCTGCCAAGTCAAACCGTCCCAGAACATTTCTGAGAATGTTAAGACTCCCTAACACTGCAGCCTTCTGCATTACCCAGATTGTCAGAAGGGCTGTATTTCTGGCAACAAACCCGGGTACTCTCCCAATGTCAGTCAACAGATTTGGAGGTACTAAACCTAAGGCACCAAGAACAATGGGGAGTCGGACAACTTGGTACTTGGGTTGCGAGCGTGCTACATACTGACAGTAATTGGCATCATTCACTATCACCAAAGATCAGTTATTTTAGGAGTTTACCTGCTTTTCATTGGCAACCTGGTCTTTCATGGTTTTTCACTTGTGGCATCATAAACATTGCTTAAAGGGCAAGTTCACACGGAAATGAACCAATTTTTCTTGTACTTTTTCCACAATAAAAGTGTTAACCTAGAAGTGTCATAGACAAAAATATAAAAATATCACAATTAATTAACATATGTTTTGCATTAAAACGATTTATATTTTTCACATTTACCAAGTGTTCTATTTCCATAACAAAAACACCATGGCTTATGCCCCTTGCAATATGACGTCATTGGTGCCAATTGATAAACATTATGACGTCATCATGCTTTGTTAGAGCCGCTTCACGTGGTGTAGGTACAGTTTTGTGATTCTAGCGTCTCAGATGCCAGCCAGCATAGTGTTATGCTGAGTCACCACTGCGCCGGAGTGTGTCGTAGGCCATGTTGTTTTACCGCAAACTTGTACTTGATATCTTTTGCGTTCAGAATAGACAGGGACCCAGTTGAATTGGCACCAATTACGTCATAATCTAAGGGGGATAACTCAGGCCAGTTTAGCTCGAAAAACGAAGGCCTCATAACGGCATATCATTTTCACACTATTGTGAGCTTCCTACTTTCACTGTGAAAAAAATGAGTGTATATTTTCAAACACAGATACTAACTAATTCTAAAATTGCGTTTTGTTTAGAAAAAGAAAGAAAGTGATTTTTGCGTGTACACTTCCCCTTTAAGTTGGGCAACCAATTGCCACATATATTGGCCCACAAGTGGTAGTTGTCATTTAGGCCGGCAGCGGTAGTTATCATGTCCCTGCTAGCGGTAGTTGCCACGATGTTTTTACAACATTAGCTGCTATTTTCTCCAAGCAGCAGTAGTTGCTTCCAGGGCCAAACAGTGGAAGTTATCATGTCACTGGCAGCGGAAGTTGCCACAATCCTTTTACAACGGTAGTTGCCTTAGGGCAGTAGAGGGAGCTGCTCATTGACATTGACAGAGGTAGTTGCCATGACAACAATAGCTTTTTGTGTAATTTACTAGAAGCTTAGTAGCACTAGGACCTGCACACCCTCAGCCCTTGTTCTAATTGGCAAGGGCGTCCTGTGTGTGGTAACCCATAACCCCCTCCCTCTCCTTGGTATAACGTGCAATAACTACTATTTATTTCAGGGGATATGCTTGTTGGTGGTGAAGGTGTGGCTATAAGGGGAGGTGGAGGCCACCTTTACTAGTAATTGTTTGCTTGTTAAAAAATAAATACAAATCTGGCATTAATTTGGTTTTACTGTACAACTTAGCAATCATATTGAATCACTGGTGTTCATTGATAAGTATTTCATAAAGCCAAGTTTACTTCACTTATACATCTCTCTCTTGCTATTATTTTATTCAGTGGATATGTTTTGGTGGCGAAGGTTTGGCTATAAGGGGAGGTGGAGGCCACCTTTACTAGTAATTTTTTGCTTGTTAAAAGATAAATACAAATCTGCCAAATTTGGTTTTACTGCACAACTTAGCAATCATAACGAATCACTGATGTTTATTGATATGTATAATCTGCATGGTATGTATATATATCAAAAATGTACAGACTGCCTGTTGTTTATTTGAACTGCCAGTAATTACCATGATTACTATTTTTTATTTCAGTGGATATGTTTTGGTGGTGAAGGTGTGGCTATATGGGGAGGTGGAGGCCACTTTAAGTGTAAAACAATGTATTTGTTTTCCCCTTGAAATATCTGACACACAATTAATAAGACAACTTATTTTTTTATGGACTTAATAAATACGATTTTAATTGGAGGCACAATTTTGTCTTATGTTTTTATTCCCCTAATCAGGGAGTGAGTGAGTGGGTTGAGTTTAACTCTGCTTTAGCCAGTGTTTCAGTCATATCACAGTGCGTCTGCTCAAAGTGACAGAGGCTTGTAGTGGTTTCCCACTAATGAAATGCATGAGCACTGTACGAGGATGACAGGCTTAGTATTTTGATTGGAACAAGAGTGGTCTTTGAACCTGTGACAGGCAGGTCCTGGCATGACAAACACCACTGGGTCACACAAAGGACTGTCACTAGGGAGAGAATCAGTCAGTATGATTCCCATTTGACATAGTTATCCAAATAACACAAATAAATGGTTCTAAATAAACACTGTTTACCAAGATTCATCAAGATCCAATTCCATTAGTAGTGAGGTAACAATAAAACAAATAATATTTTAGCATGCCTCAAAGTGAGAGTGAGCAATCAGAGAGCAGAACTACTGACCCCACATGAGCCCGTATACCGTCAGTAAAAATCCAGGATGGTTGATACTGACCTAATATGTGACGTGTACCGTCAGTTACAGCCATTTTGGATTTTCCAACACCCACGTCACATATTTCACATGAAAATTCTGGTACAGAAGTTCGTTATTCGACACTGTTCTGTGTTTTAATATAATTAATTTTGATGTGCAAGGACGTTAATATTTTTTTGGATCACCGTCATAATAAAGTGTATATAAAGTTAAAATTATCAACAAGGTTTGGCCTCTGGGGCTTGAAGAGTAGTCTCCCTTTGATCCTTAACGTTGTTAGTGTTAGTTTTGAGTTTTAAGTTTTGACATGAAATTCGTTATGGTGTCTGTAGTTGCTGTATATTAGGTTATAGTTTGCAGAAAAATATTGGGCTCGGCTGACGCTTCCCACTATTGAAATGCATGAGCACTGGTATGAGGCTGGCAGGCTACGTATCATGATTGGAACAAAAGTCGGCTGGTCAAAAAACCTTATCATTAAATACAAGCATGCTGTGGAGTATTTATGCCATTCCTGTAAGCTGCCTTGAGTAGGAAACAAAATATATAGCAGGAAAACTTGCCTTGAGTCATCAACACAGTGCTAAACCTCTCTCTGTGTGCACGAAAGTGTTGAGAGTGTTAAACAAAAATTATATTTTTACACATAACATCTTTTACATGACGACAGTATTCACACTGTTCAGGCGGGTGAGTGAGTGAGCTGGGTCAAACACCGCTTAAAACAATATATTTTACTTATGGTGTGTCGGCTTAGTGTGGGAGGAAAGCCCATGGTGATGCAGGTCTCAGACGTTTACCACTTTGGGGTTACCCACTAGCATGGGTATGGTGCTGAGAAACCTAGAAACATAACCGGGGTGAACCGGAGTTAAATCCACGTCTATAGGTTTCTGGCGTTTCTAAGGGACGCAACTCTTCACAGCGAATTGCGGCGCCTCAGACAACTGGTCCACCCTTGTCCCACCACTGATAAAAGTGAACATATGAGACTACAGTACACAAAGCAATAAACGTCAAACTTAAAAAATCTCTCAGATGATGATACTATCACAAATCTATTGCTGTAGCCTTTCGTGAAAGTTTTCACACCAATTATTTCTTTAATAGTCAATGAAGCGTATGTAAACTGAACAAAATCGCCCTTGGTATCTCTGGTAAATATTACAATATATGAGTAATATATTTTACAATAACTACGGTTATTGTGTTTTCATATTAGCATAGTTTATAAACCTAACTCATATACAGAAAACACAGTGTGATATTGAAACAATACCAAACATGTAACTATCATAGTCATACAGTAAAAATAACACCAAAGGCTCCCAGTACATAGGGATTACAAGTGTGGGCATTCATTTTACATATTCATCGAAAGCTAAGTGCACCTCATATATGCAACATGATTTCAACTAAATGAACAAATATACATGTAAATACACCAATAAACCATTAAATAATGCACACACATATATAAAGTAAAAATAATGACTCTGTGAACCTGCTTACCTTGAACAGAGAAGGAACCTGTGAACACAGTGTTTGGAAGTGACGTTAACGCGGCGATAAACACGAAAAAACCAAGCCAAAGATGGAAAGAAATATAATCATCAATACTCTAAGTATATCACTGCTGCCTGGACATAATCGTCTGGGTAGAAGTCCCAGTGGTTGATACAATGAGCAATGATACAGCTGTCAGTTTACGATGACGCACCATTAACAAGGTCATATTCACAGTCCAAAAGTCAGAAAACCTGAGTCCAACAATATATTTTTGTCTTGCAAGTTAGTATATGATAACGGTATGTCATGTTTGTTTGACATCCATGTCAGCAGTCTGCAGTCTGTGTTTAAGTTTGTTTGTTTGTTTGTTGTTTAACGCCGCACTCAGCAATATTCCAGCCATATGACGGTGGTCTGTAAAAAATCGAATCTGAACCAGACAATCCAGTGATTGATAACATGAGCATGGATCCACGCAATTGGGATACGATGACATGCATCAACCAAGTCAGCGAGCCTGACCACCCGCTCCCGTTAGTCGCCTCTTACGACAAGCATATAGTCACCTCTTTCGGCAATCATAGGTGCAGAAGACGTATTCTAACCCGGATCTACACGGGTCGGTATGTCATGTAAGTGAGTGGGTGACTTTTCACGCCGCATTATACAGTTTTTCAGTTTACAAACGGCGTGTCTGCTCAGAATGGGAGGAAATCCAGAAGTGATGCAGGTCTGAGACTATTACATTTTGTAAAAGCCCACAATCACAGTGTGGTATTTACAAATAAAGGATATAATACTTGGGCCTATTTGGGATTCATTTTGTCAGAATAAGAATTGTGTATAAATAGGGGCGTGTTTATTTAATTATATGTATGTAACCATGGCGATTATGTTTCGCTTTTACTCTTACACACAAATATGAATGTAATCAGTCCCGTGTATACGGACAGCCGAATCGGAACCAATGGCGGCAAATGTAGGAAGTCGGCACTTCTAGTATAATAAAAGGATGAAGGTGACCCATTCGTCTAATGTACCGCAGGGTTGAAGCCTCCCCCCCCCCCTCCCCCCCTCCCCTTTCCGCCTAGACGCTAGGGTCGAGTTAAGAGGGTGTCGTTTGAGCCTACTACATCGGCTTCATGCACGAGCTTAATTTTATGCCGGTTAAAAAACGAATGACACTTTTTTTAAAAATATGATATTATTAATTCCTTGAACATAAGATTTAATGGCCACTGTTCAAATCCCCAGAAAATGTACGTGTATTATGTACTCATTTCTTTCACCTGTTTCTTTATTCAGATAATTCAGTTTAAATAATCAACCCAGACTGACAAGCATGGGGAACCACTTATACATCCGATCGTCTTTAGGCACTTTCTCAAATATTCTTCACAAAAGACTTTTGATACAGACAACTGACTCTTGTATTATTTTGAATAAACATTTTCTTCAATCTTCATAGGCACCGTCATGTCACGTTTAAACCTAAAAGAGACTAACTCCTATTATCGCTAACGATTGTCATTGATGTTGCGCGATAATTTGCGGGTCTTCGTGTGAACGAGTTGACTAGTTTCCTTTCCGCCAGGCTCCGTCTCTACATGTTACAAAGTTGACGCAGCGCACAGAGAGTCGGCAACCAGCAGTACATTTTATTTAAATGTAAGTTTTATTTTGCGATTATGATTTAAATAATGTTCTACTGGATATAGAAGCATATTTCCATTCGTGAATACAAAAAACGTTTGGTTCAAATCTATTTCCGGTGTTGCTACGGTAACAGTTCAAAACAAGTTCAAGACCCGGCTCCTACGATTCTTCGTTGACAGAAGCGTATCGTTGCTATTTCAGTTGTTATTTTAACAGATTTCAGAGACCTGTTTGAGTTCAAGTGCCTTCTTGTTTCTGCAGACAGGTTTGTAGATGTTATTTTGTATGAATTCCTTTTGGTTTCTCCCGAAATGTCTCTGGATTTTTGTTGTTGGAATTGTAAACAAAACAGGCCATCTTTGACAACCAGCAAATATTCAACATTTTGAAGCCCATTTTGCTTACGTTTTCCTTAAGATTACTGTTGTATTATCTATTCCTTGATTTACCAGCTTGTTTGCCTATCATATTTAGACGCACGTTGTAAGTATTTCGGTAATTCTGGAGCCACCACGGTTGTTTCGACCCCCAAATTGACCTCAATTCTGATCATGTTTATGAACGGCCCCACACAAAAACGTCATCGATTCACCTAAACAGCAGTCTGTGTCTTTAGCCACCAGTCCGTAGCCCAAGTCTAGTAAACCTTTCTTTCAGTCTAGTAAGCTTTGCTAATAAAGGTCCATACATGAACACTAAGATGATCTTAGATCTACTGAAAATGATGGGGTGTTGTCTAAACCGTCATCGGTTTCTGTGGGCTAAAACGCTAAAGCTTTGTTTCGCAAAAAAAAGTCTAGGGAAGATCCATCAAACTGACAGGTTTTGGCAAGCAGCAAGTTACTGCCACAGTCTGTCAAACGCACTGTGATATTTTCCAGTCCCTGTGCTTTCGAAAATTGAGAATGATGTCTTAGGCCTTCAAAAGGCCTAATAATATTTTTAGTCAGATTTGGTTGGAATCCTAACTGCACATCAAGTCCAGTATTCTTCTGTTCCTGATTTCAAACTACTTTCATTATTTAATGATGATACATGTGATATAGAAGAATGTCCTTTGAAAGGTTGATCAAATGATGAAAATTTACTCATGTCATTTAATTGATATCTCAAATCAAAAGTCAGTAACTATGTCGAACGACTATGAATGTACATTACCAGTGACTATACATATTCCATACTTTTATGTTCTATTGCAGTTATTTCTTTTTTCCTCTTTATTTCTATTCTTATTATTCTCTTTCTTCTAAACAGATACTTTTTGTGGACTTGTTTAAATAAAGATGAATTATGACAATATTATAATTTTCTCACCCTGTTACAGGTCCTAGGTTGTTTTTTTTATTACCTCATTGTCATTACTACATGCCTAGCAAGTGTGGGAGACATGTACTTTGCCGCTCACACTGTCTTCATAACGACTTTTGGTATTTAGCTTTTAGCCATGAAATATGCTTATAGTTATAACATAAAAGCATCTTTCGATATAAAAAAGCCCACTCTATTTATACTGATAAAACATCAAGATGTTATAAGTAACTTCATGTCTATCTTGTTGACAGGTTTCTGTTGTTGTGATCGATTATCTGGATTCTACAGTTTTTCCTGTGTTTCACCTTGATCTGGTGCAAAGATCAACTCTAGAGGTATTCTCATCTAAACAACACACATAATATTGACATGTCCAACTTCAAAACACAAGAACTCTAGCTTTTACATTCATCGAGGCAGGGTTTTTAGATTGGTTCACTTCCAAGACATTGATTGTCATCTAAAATGTCCAACAGATTGTTTAAAATTTGGTATATATTTATATATAGTTGATAAAATGATGAAAATGTCCTCAAGCCAATTGTCTCCATCAAAATCCCTGTATAAGTATACAATGTAAACCACTCATGTAAACAAGCTTAACACGTGTCAATACCTGTATTTTGTCCTTTGTGTGAAATGAATCTAAATAAATCCCACATTGATACTTCAGAGACACAACATGCTGTGTCCCAGTGAGAGTTGGGTGAACCTGGATGACCCTCCCTGCCCCGAAACTGATGCTGTCATCCCCTCCAGTCCTACAATGAGGTCCACCAGCTTAATATGCCCCACCCCTAGATCCTCCATCTTCTACAATAGCATCCTACAACAGTTTGAACAACCTATTTCCTTCCCATCCTTCATCCCAAACCAGTATCTGAATATTCATAATGCAGGTTTTTTCAGTCCAAATACTAGTGTGCTTCATTCAGACTATCCTAACTTTACTTCTAACTGTACTGATTTCGATGTTTCCACCTTCCAGCCTCTACAAGTTGACAGCGCATGCAGCCTACATCAAGAAACAATCAGCCAGACTTCATTGGGCCCGGGTTTCGATGTTTCCAGCTTCCAGCCTCTTCCAGTTGACAGTGAATGCAGTCTTGATCTTACAACAATTAGCCAGACTTCATTGGGCCCGGATTTTGATGATTCTACATTCCAGCCGCTTCCAATTGACAGTGAATGCAGCATAGGTGAAGCAGCAATCAGCCAGGCATCATTGGGCCCAGATATCGCTGTTTCGAGCTTCCAGCCTCTTCCGGTCGACAGTGAATGCAGCCTGGATCTACCAACAATCAGCGAGACGTCATTGGGCCCAGATTTTGATGATTCAACATTCAGGAAGCTTCAGGTTGACAGTGCTTGCAGCCTAGATCAAGCATCAATCAGCCAGACGCCATCGGGCCCTGAGTTTCATGATTCCACCTTCAGGCTGCCTTCAATTACCAGTGCATGCAGTCTAGATGAAGAAACAATCAGCCAGACGTCATTGGGCCAAGATTTGGATGATTCCATCTTCAGCAGTGAAAGCAACCTGTCACAAGACTACAGCCAGACTTTGATGAAATCCATTGTCAGCTCTGTTCCTGGGAGCAGTGGTTCCAGCCTGTCTCGGACCATCAGCCAAGTATCAAGTATTGAGGATTTCAGTGAATCCATCCTCATAGCCTATTCCTTTCAGCTGTGAATCCAGTCACAAGATATCAGCCAGAATGAATGAAAGTTTTGGCGAGAGCTCAATTTAAACTTTATCCCAGATTGCCCAGTTTCTTTTTGAAATATACTAAACATGTAAAAGCAGAAAGAAACGATTTACCATTACCATACCCCCCCCCCCCCCTTCTGCACTTGTAATGCATTTTCTCATTTCGGGTTTCTTTTGTATTTCTACAGATTTCTTCCTTGAATTAGTCCCAGGATAATAATCTAATGAAGGTTGCAGTAGCTCTCCTGCTGTGGACCTTGGCTTCATTTCATTTCAGATCTATTCAGGTGCCATTACTGTGTCGAGCAACAGAGATCCAAGATCTAGCTCCAGCCAAAACTCGATCCACCTTGGTGACCCCTTCCTTGGCTCAGGACTCAAGATTTAGTTTGAACTTCATGTATATCCACCTGCCCTTCTACTCTTTTCAGGGGCGGTCGGGTAGCCTAGTGGTTAAAGCGTTCGCTCGTCACGCTGAAGACCCGGGTTCGATTCCTGACATGGGTACAATGTGTGAAGCCCATTTCTGGTGTCCCCCGCCGTGATATTGCTGGAATATTGCTAAAAGCGGCGTAAAACCATACTCACTCACTCACTCTACTCTTTTCAGAAACTCTTAAATGATTGTCCCAAATACAAGCTGCTGGAACCATAACCTGATTCTGTGAAAGAGATTTGTCAGTGACATGATTCCCAGTCTCACTGGTAGCCAATGCAGTTCTTTCAGGACTGGTGTTATGTGGTTGGGAATTAAGCATTGTGTGATGAACCTGACGCCTGTATTTAGCACACACTGTATCTCGTGCAAATGACTTTGCTGAATGTCCTGCAGAAGATATTATTATAAGATTAAAGCACAAAATGCAGCAAATTGGGTTTGGGTGATCCTGGCACAGTCAGGCTGGTTAGGCTTATAATCAGCTCAGGGTTCTTGCCCCCTCTACACCCAGCCCAGACAGCAAATGGGACTTCTCCCAGGAAGCACTGCCTAGTCAAACCCACTAAGAATGTTTTGGAGAAAGTGAAAACTCCCCAACACTGCAACCTTCTGCAATACACATATTGTCAGAAGGGCTTTATTCCTAGCAACAAACCTGAGTACTCTCCCAATTTCAGTCAACAGATTGGGAGGTACCAAACCTAAGGCACCGAGAACAATGAGGAGTTGTCAACTTGGTTCTTGGGATGTAAGTGTGACATTTCGAAAGCGAGGTCTGCATATTTGCCATGTTTTTCCTCAATCTTGTTAATCACACTAGTGTCAAAAGGGACAGAAAATTCAATAACAGAAATGATTTCACTAGACTTTTCAGGTTTGTCAGGTTTGTTGGCCTGGACAGGTGTGAGGCTGTATACTGGCCTATTCCAAAGATTTTTGTATTGATGATTTTCTATGACGCCCTCTACATATTGTTGGTCTGCTGTGGGTGGATTTGACTGATCTGGCACAGTCAGGCTTGTTAGGCTCATCATCAGCTCAGGGTCCTTGCCTCCTCTACATGTTGCCCAGACAGCAAATGGGACTTCTCCCAGGAAGGGCTGCCAAGTCAAACCGTCCCAGAACGTTTCTGAGAATGTTAAGACTCCCTAACACTGCAGCCTTCTGCATTACCCAGATTGTCAGAAGGGCTGTATTTCTGGCAACAAACCCGGGTACTCTCCAAATGTCAGTCAACAGATTTGGAGGTACTAAGGCACCAAGAACAATGGGGAGCAACCAATTGCCACGTATATTGGCCCACAAGTGGTAGTTGTCATTTAGGCCGGCAGCGGTAGTTATCATGTCCCTGCTAGCGGTAGTTGCCATGATGTTTTTTACAATATTAGCTGCTATTTTCTCCAAGCAGCAGTAGTTGCTTCCAGGGCCGAACAGTGGAAGTTATCATGTCACTGGCAGCGGAAGTTGCCACAATCCTTTTACAACGGTAGTTGCCTTAGGGCAGTAGAGGGAGCTGCTCATTGACATTGACAGAGGTAGTTGCCATGACAACAGTAGCTTTTTGTGTAATTTACTAGAAGCTTAGTAGCACTAGGACCTGCACACCCTCAGCCAATGTTCTAATTGGCAAGGGCGTCCTGTGTGTGGTAACCCATAACCCCCTCCCTCTCCTTGGTATAACGTGCAAAAACTACTATTTATTTCAGAGGATATGCTTGTTGGTGGTGAAGGTGTGGCTATAAGGGGGGGTGGAGGCCACCTTTACTAGTAATTGTTTGCTTGTTAAAAAATAAATACAAATCTGGCATTAATTTGGTTTTACTGTACAACTTAGCAATCATATTGAATCACTGGTGTTCATTGATAAGTATTTCATAAAGCCAAGTTTACTTCACTTATACATCTCTCTCTTGCTATTATTTTATTCAGTGGATATGTTTTGGTGGCGAAGGTGTGGCTATAAGGGGAGGTGGAGGCCACCTTTACTAGTAATTTTTTGCTTGTTAAAAGATAAATACAAATCTGCCAAATTTGGTTTTACTGCACAACTTAGCAATCATAACGAATCACTGATGTTTATTGATATGTATAATCTGCATGGTAAGTATATATATCAACAATGTACAGACTGCCTGTTGTTTATTTGAACTGCCAGTAACTACCATGATTACTATTTTTTATTTCAGTGGATATGTTTTGGTGGTGAAGGTGTGGCTATATGGGGAGGTGGAGGCCACTTTAAGTGTAAAACAATGTATTTGTTTTCCCCTTGAAATATCTGACACACAATAAATAAGACAACTTATTTTTTTATGGACTTAATAAATACGATTTTAATTGGAGGCACAATTTTTTCTTATGTTTTTATTCCCCTAATCAGTGAGTGAGTTGAGTTTAACTCTGCTTTAGCCAGTGTTTCAGTCATATCACAGTGCGTCTGCTCAAAGTGACAGAGGCTTGTAGTGGTTTCCCACTAATGAAATGCATGAGCACTGTACGAGGATGACAGGCTTAGTATTTTGATTGGAACAAGAGTGGTCTTTGAACCTGTGACAGGCAGGTCCTGGCATGACAAACACCACTGGGCCACACAAAGGACTGTCACTAGGGAGAGAATCAGTCAGTATGATTCCCATTTGACATAGTTATCCAAATAACACAAATAAATGGTTCTGAATAAACACTGTTTACCAAGATTCGTCAAGATCCAATTCCATTAGTAGTGAGGTAACAATAAAACAAATAATATTTTAGCATGCCTCAAAGTGAGATTGAGCAATCAGAGAGCAGAACTACTGACCCCACATGAGCCCGTATACCGTCAGTAAAAATCCAGGATGGTTGATACTGACCTAATATGTGACGTGTACCGTCAGTTACAGCCATTTTGGATTTTCCAACATCCACGTCACACATTCACATGACAATACTGGAACAGAAGTTCGTTATTCGACACTGTTCTGTGTTTTAATATAATTAATTTTGATGTGCAAGGAGGTTAATATTTTTGTGGATCACCGTCATGATAAAGAGTATATAAAGTTAAAATTATCAACAAGGTTTGGCCTCTGGGGCTTGAAGAGTAGTCTCCCTTTGACCCTTAACGTTGTCAGTGTTAGGTTTTGACACGACGCGCGACAAACATACCAAAAAGTGTATACTTTTAGGCATAATAAAATCCTTATGGTGCCTTTAGTTGCCGTATACGTTGTCATAACAGGTTAGCAGACCGCTATTGAAATGCATGACCATTGCTATGAGGCTGGCAGGCTATACATATCATGATTGGAACAAAAGTGGGCTGGTCAAAGAACCTTATCTTTAAATACAAGCATGCTGTGAAGTAATTATGCCATTCCTGTAAGCTGCCTTGAGTAGGAACAAAATATATAGCAGGAAATCTTCCCTAGAGTCATCAACACAGTGCTAAAACTCTCTCTGTGTGCCCGAAAGTGTTGAGAGTGTTAAACAATAATTATATTTTTACCCTTAACATCTTTTACATGATGACAGTACATTATGTGTTCACACTGTTAAGGCGGGTGAATTAGTGAGTGAGTGAGTGAGCTGGGTCAAACACCGCTTAAAACAATATTTTGACTTATGGTGTGTCGGCTTAGTGTGGGAGGAAAGCCCATGGTGATGCAGGTCTCAGACGTTTACCACTTTGGTGAAACCCAACGAGCATGGGTATGGTGCTGAGAAACCTAGAAACATAACCGTTGTGAACCGGAATTAAATCCTGGTTTCTGGCGTTTCTAAGGGACGCAACTCTTCACAGCGAATTGCGGCGCCTCAGACAACTGGTCCGCCCTTGTCCCACCACTGATAAAAGTGAACCTATGAGACTACAGTACACAAAGCAATAAACGTCAAACTTAAAAAATCACACAGATGATGATACTATCACAAATCTGTTGCTGTAGCCTTTCGTGAAAGTTTACACACCAATTATTTCTTTAATAGTCAATGAAGCGTACATAAACTTCTGAAAAATTCACCCTTGGTTATTGTAGCGAAGTGTCTAGTTCACATGCTGGAATTCAAGGTGTCTTTAAAAATGTAGGTGATATTTAGGTCTTCAGCAACCGCTGCTTGCTGTAAAAGGCGACTGTGCTTGTCGTAAGATGCGACTAACGGGATCGGACGGTCAGGCTGACTGACTTGGTTGATGCATGTCATCGACCCCAATTGTGTGGATTGATGCACATGATATCAATCACTGCACTGTCTGCGACGTTAATCAACAAACAAACAAACAAACAAACAAACAAACAAACAAATATTATACCTGGAAACATTGAAAGGAGGAGGAAATCGTGAGCACAGTGTTTTGGCGTGATTCCATTTATTAACGTGCAAATTATCATTATAATTACAAACTAATTACAAACATGTTATCCTAAACAAAATGCAATAAGACAAATAAATGAAAGAAATATAATCATCAATTCTCTAAGTATATCACTGCTGCCTGGACATAATCGTCTGGGTAGAAGTCCCAGTGGTTGATACCATGAGCAATGATACAGCTGTCAGTTAACGATGACGCACCATTAACAAGGTCATATTCACAGTCCAAAAGTCAGAAAACCTGAGTCCAACAATATACTTTTGTCTTGCAAGTTAGTATATGATAACAGTATGTCATGTTTGTTTGTTGTTTAACTCCGCACTCAGCAATATTCCAGCCATATGACGGTGGTCTGTAAATAATCGAATCTGGACCAGACAATCCAGTGATTGATAACATGAGCATGGATCCACGCAATTGGGATACGATGACATGCATCAACCAAGTCAGCGAGCCTGACCATCCGATCCCGTTAGTCGCCTCTTACGACAAGCATATAGTCACCTCTTTCGGCAATCATAGGTGCAGAAGACGTATTCTAACCCGGATCTACACGGTCGGTATGTCATGTAAGTGAGCGGGTGACTTTTCACGCCGCATTATACAGT